TCCACACAAAGGCAGGAAGGAAGAGGTGCTCTGTGGCAAAGGCGAAGGTACAGTGACCCTGGGACAGCAAGGCGGAGGCCCGGGGGCCCTGAGACAGCCCAAGGGTCTGCAGCACAGAGCGCTGGGCAGGGCAGCCACCACAGGGGCCGTCTCCGGCACCTCTCACCCGCTGAGTGCATCAACTCAAGATGTCATAGATGGGGAAACAGACCCAGAGTTTAGAACTGCCCAGGTCACATAAAGGCTTCCAATTCAGCACTTTCTCCACTCTTCTTCAAGTTCACAACCATTGACTGAACACTTTCTATCAAGTTCCTAGAAGGTGGTAATCCCTCACCAACTGTGGTTTTAAGAGGGTTCCCTTTTAGATGTACGCCTTTACACAGCTTTCTCAAAGAGGCACTTACATGCCGTACAACTCACCCACAGCAGGCATACTGTTAGATGCGTAAATTTCCATAACAGCTCAACCACCGACACAAAACCGTTTTCCAGCTTCCATCATGCTGTCAGGCACAGCCTGGAGCCTGAGAGATCAACACAGGGGCGCCTGCTCCGAGCTTCAGATGCGGCTGGGGGCAGACCCCCACCACACACACACACACACACACACACACACACACGCGAAAAAAAAAAAGGTAAAAAAACCAAGAAGAACGTTGCTGTCCTCAGGCCTGGAAAGGGGAAGACAACTGAGGGCAAAAAAGATGTCTCCGTGAAGGGCCTAGAGTGCGGGGGCCCCCCTCCTGCTTCAACTCCCAGATGAACAAACTCAGGGTCAGAGAGGCCTGGGGTGTGGTTCAGTCTTTTCAACCCATGACTGCATCCCAGACACTAATGATAGTGGTAGCAACGGTGGTACTACTCAGGGTCCGGCCTGGCCACGCTGCCCCCCCACAGCGGATACACACACAAACGGGGTGCCTGCTCCAAGCCTCTGCAGCGCAGCTGGGGTCAGGCTCCTCGTGGCCAGCAGTGGCAGTAGCAGAGGTGTGATGGTGGCGTCGCCTTCCCCTGATTGGCCAGTTGCCTCCTGCAGAGGGAGGCCAGACTGTGGCTTAGGCCCGCTCCCCGTGGACATCTGTAGGACATCCTCCGAGGGCTCCCGGACTGTGAGAGGGGGCAGGCTGGGCTGAGGGACCTCCACCCCCCAGTGCACGAATTTCATGCACCAGGCCTCTAGAGTGTGTGTGTGTGTGTGTGTATGTGTGTGTGTGTGTGTGTGTATGCTAAGTGTTTGGGTAATGACGTCATGTAGCAACACCCGACTTCCTCTCCCTAGCGACTAGTCTCCTTGCAGTTTCTTCAGCCCAGGAATACAACTTGCTTTATAGCCAGGTGGAAACACTACACTGTAACCAAATGTCTGTGAAGCGTTTTCCCGTGCCTCATCTCATTTGATCCTCACAGAAGTCCTAGAGTCCTTAGGAGACTCGGTGGAATCTTATCTTTTTTCATTAGCCGGAAAATGGAGATTTAGAAAGCTTAGAAACTTGACCTGACTGAAAAGAAGTAAGAAATGGTGGGCCTTGAAAATGACTTCAGATTTTCTCACTGTGCAGAATATAGTCAAACACTGCTGCAGTTAAATATTTTACCCTTTTTGTTTTTGTTGACATTCTGAAACTGAAAGAAAGCGGCATTGTCGACAGAATCTGTCTGAAGATCAACTATTGACACTTCTATTATAGAGAAAGGGCAAATAGCGATATTAAAATATTTCTTCTAATTAATTTCCTTTCAATGTGTATGAATCCGTGCACTGGGCCATTAGTATTTCTTATATTTTGCTAAAGGATGGGGCTCTTTTTTAAAATATATTTTTTCATTGATTTTTTAATGAGGGAAGGGAGATGGAAAGAGGAAAGAAACATCAATAATGAGAGAGAATCACTGATTGGCTGCCTCCTGCACACCCCCACTGGGGATCCAGCCTACAACCCGGTCATGTGCCCTGACTGAGAATTAAACTGGTGACCTCTTGGTACATGGGGCAATGGCCAACTACGGAGCCACACCGGCCAGGAAGGATAGGGCTTTTTTTAAACATGTCCACCATGGTACTGTCAGGTGTGCACTCTGTTCAGGGTTCCCGTTGTCTCTGGTTTTGCATCGGGAGACAGCTTGTTGCTCTTGCTCTGAGTTTAAGAACTGCTGGGCTCAGTGCCAGACCGATGCGCTCATTAGGGCTGCAGGTCAGTGCCGCACCGACCCGCCTTACGTACTTCCTGAGATGTCCGCGGTGAGTGTGGTGTCATTAAGAGGTCAGCACCAATGAAGGAATCTTCCTGAGAGTCTTCAGAGTATGTGTTTGATTCACTACCATCACTCAATATGCTGGCATAAATGACTAGGATGTCTTTTTATGTATTTAAAATTTTTTAAATATGTTTTTAGTCATTTTAGAGAGAGGAAGGGAGGAGAGAGATAGAAACATCGATGAGAGAGAAACAGCAGCATCAATCAGCTGCTCCCTCCTGGGGACTGAGCCACACCCTGGGAGCGTGCCCTGCCGGAATCGACCGGTGACTTCTTGGTGCATGGGTTGGCACTCAACCACTGAGCCACACTGGGCTCTTTTTTATGTGTTTTAAACTCACGGGATTTAACCTGCTGGACATGCTCCAGAGCACAGGTTGTTCCATCTGTGGCTGTGAGAGCCTCTTCAAGGCCCCTAATCTCTTACAAAAGATGCTCCGGCTCACCCTGTACCTTTATTGTCCTGGCCTGCAGCCAGCCACTCATGCAGGGAGAGAGGCCTCGGGACCATGCTGGGCCCTGGGGAGCTGCTGGATTGCTCTGTTCCCAGTCTTTTCTATGTATTTTGAAGTATTATGTATTTTATGGGAGACAGCAGCTGTATTTTGATTTGTTTCAGGGATGACAGGATTGATTTGACCTCTTCTGGCTCATGTCTGTGTCTTTTCTCCCACACACACGGACACTTCCAGGTGTGAAAGCTAGTGCTGACTAGTGCTGACGGGTTGAGCCTAGCATGTAACCAGTGACTCCCTCACTTTATCCCAGGGGCACAGCAGTTCTGGGAGCAGGAGCAACTCACCCAACAGCGTGTTTGCCCCGAAATCCAAGTCCTTTGGTGCCCCTAGCTCTGCCCGTCCTCAGGGTGCATCTCCTGTCTCTGCTGTGGGGGGGCGGGGCTCCCTCAGGGTGGCTGTGCCCAGGGCTTTGTTTCATTTTCTTTTCCACGCGTGCAGATTGCGCTTTGTTTTAACATTGTAAATCCTAAGTCAGAGCTCTCAAACAAGAGTATCCCTCTGTATACACATTCGGCTTCCTGTCCCTGCCCTTCCCCGAGGCAACCAATAAAAATTCTGTGGTCCATCTTTCCAGGAATCAGAAAGTGACATTGTGTCTCTCCTTCCATTTTCCTGGGTAACTATAGGCTTCCCACCACCTTACCCACCCCAGTGCCAGGGCTCCCAAGCTGCTTCCCACTCCTTCTGCCCTGCCTGCTCTTGGGTGTAGGGTCATTTCTGGACCCAGGGTGGTGCACGTGCAGTTCTGCCCATGCAGCAAATCGGGGGTGGAGGAGCACCACTGCCGTTGCACCAGCAGGTGTGGGGCTGCCTCCCATCACCGCGCCCACAGTGGATGTCAGGTTCTGATGAGCAGGTGAGCAGTAGCATCTCATGGTCACTGTTCCTCTCCTGACGTGAGCCAGGCCAGCATCTTTCCTGAAATTACTATCTGCGTTTCTTTCCCTCCACCTCTCCTCTCATCCCTCCTCCCTTCTCTAGCCCCTCCCTGTCAGCCGCTTAACGGCTCTGCCTTGTCTAAGTCCCTCAGACCTCCTCCCTACGCGCAGAGCGCACTGCCCCTTAGTGTCCCTCAGAGCCCTGGCTTCTCCTGCACTGCTCGCTTTGCCCGAGCGATGCCAGGGAACAGGTATCAGTGGGTGGCCGCCCTTCCCTGCCTAAGGCATCCAGTCACCCTGGACATGATGGGAGGCTAGTGATTTTTTTGTTTTTTATTTTGTTTTTTAAATCCTTATTGTTGAAAGTATTACATATGTTCTCTTTTTCCCCTATTGACCCTCTCCAGCCCACTCCCACCCCCAGGGCTTCACCATTGCCTGTGTCCGTGGGCCATGCATAGATGCATACAAGGTCTTTGTTTGATTACCTCCCACCCTCCCCACTTCCCTCTGAGATTCCACACTCTGTTCCCTGCTTCCATGTCTCTGGATCCTCTGTGTTCATCAGTTTATTTTGTTACTTAGATTCCACATATGAGTGAGATCATGTGATACTTGTCCTTCTGTGACTGACTTACTTCCCTTAGCATGATACTCTCCAGGTCCCTCCATGCTGTCTCAAAGGGTAAGAGATGCTTTTTTATTGCTGCATAGTATCCCATGCTATAAATGTACAGCTTTTTAAAACATATATATATATATATTTTTATTGATCAGAGAGGAAGGGAGAAAGAGATAGAAACAGCAGTGATGAGAGAATCATTGATCGGCTGCCTCCTGCACATCCTGTACTGGGGATCGAGTCCATAACCCAGGCATTTGCCCTTGACTGGAATCAAACCCAGGACCCTTCAGTGCGCAGGCTGTTGCTCTATCCACGGAACCAAACTGGCTAGGGCTGTACCACAGCTTTTTTTAATCCATTCATCTACTGATGGGCGCTTGGGCTGTTTACAGATCTTAGCTATTATAAGTTGTGAACATAGGGGTGCATACATTCTGGGGGGAGGGCCACTGGAGGTGGCCAGTGTGGCAGCTCCTGCCACCTGGGTGTGCACATGGTCTGGAGCAGGGCAGGGGGCACAGAGGACTGGGACCACCCCCCGGGAGACAGGGTGGAGCTCACTGTGCGGCGGGGAGGGTCTGGCTCCCCTTCGGATCGGCTCACCTGGCTCAGGGGTTCAGATCTTGTTCCCAGGCCTCTGCTACTCCAAGAAGCGACTGTGTGGGGCAGGCAAGAGGCTGTGTGCTGGGAACCCCCGTGATGTCCTCGCTGTCCCTCCAGGAGCTGTCCAAGATCACGATGCCCATTGTCTTCAACGAGCCCCTGAGCTTCCTACAGCGGATCACGGAGTACATGGAGCACATCTACCTCGTCCACAGAGCCTCCCGCCAGCCCCAGGCCCTGGAGAGGATGCAGGTGGGCGGGCCCTGCGCTGGGGGAGCCAGACCACAGCAGTGAATGGATGTGACCCTATTGACTGGCCATGTCATGGCAGGGACCTGGCACCTCTCCAGTGGAGGAGGCAGCACAGTGCACACGCGCTCTGGGTGCTATCCTGCCAGCAGCTGAGACATTTGTGCTGGGGGGTGTTCTCCACAGGAATGCATAGGGCCTGCGCCTTGGCTCCTCCCAGTCTTTTCAGCACCACACCTGTATGTGTACGTGTGTGTGTGTGTGTCCGCATGTGTGCATGCACACATGTGGGTATATGTCCATGCGTGTTCCCGCATGTGTGCATAAATGTGCCTGTGTGTGTTCATGCCCGTGTGCATGTATACAACATGTGTGCTGTGTGCATTCGTGTGCCCATGTGTGTTGAAAGGGGACAAACACATGGCCCTTGCCACAGGGCCTGCTGAAGAACAGACTGGGACTGGAAAGCATCAGGGCTCCTGCTGTCTGTAGTTTTGAGGAAGTGGTGGTGACAGAGGGCACTTCCTGGAATCTCTGTAACCTTGGGCATGTTACAAGGGGAAGACTGAACAGTCACCAGATAGTGAATCCTGACGCAGACATGCCAGGTGCCTGCAGCTCCCTACAGCCTTGGGCCCCCTTCCTGGTGGGGACTGCTCATGGCCTGTGTGTTGTTTGCAGTGTGTGGCTGCCTTTGCGGTGTCGGCGGTGGCTTCCCAGTGGGAGAGGACTGGCAAGCCGTTCAACCCACTCCTGGGAGAGACATACGAGCTGATCAGGTAAGGCCGGGCCTCCTGAGTGCCGTGCGCGGTGCTGTGGAGGACGGAGGGTGTGGTTCCTCCTGCAGCATGATTCTGCCTCTGACAGCTGACCCTGTGGCTGGCAGGTTCACTGAGGGGCCGGGAGCACCGCCGGGGCGAGGACGGTTCGCATATGGGGAATGTCGGGTCAGTCTGTAACAAAACCCTAGTGCTGTGAAGTAGAGTTGGAAATGGGATCCTGTGTTGGATTCAGGAGTAGAGAAGGGAGTGTCTGTGAATGGCTTGTTAGCTTTGGCCTGAAATAGAGATGGGTCCTGGAAGCACATTCACCCACTCACTGAGCATCTCAGGAGCCATTGGCAGGGAGCAGGTGACCTAGAGAGGAGTGGCGGTCGGAGGGCTTCTCTCCCGGTCACTGCCGACTGCCATGCCGCTGCCCCTGGGCTCAAAGGCCTGGCCAGCACTGGCAATGCAGTGACCAGACCAGACCTTACGTTATTTTATTTTATAATCCTCACCCGAGGATAAGTTTTTACTGATTTTAGAGGAAGTGGAAGGGAGAGAGAGAGAGAGACATCAATAGGTTGCCTCTCGTATGTGCCCTGACTGGGGATTGAACCCGCAATCTGGGTATGTGCCCTGACTGGGAATTAAACCTGCAACCTTTTGTTGTACAAATGACACTCCAACCAACTGAGCCACCTGGCCAGGGCCACACCTTATTTCAAGTGCAGCTGAAATTCCTCCCGACGGAGTTTCTCGCAGGCAGCTTCAGCGGCCCCCTGGCTGCTCCCCTCCTGCCTATCACGCAGCCTGGTCCTAGAGCTGTACACGTACCTGGGACGGGACCAGGGCCCCTGTCTCTCGGGCTGTGCAGTCACTCAGAATGAGCCATGGTCCAGTCGGCCTGGCTGCAAGTGCCAGCCAGAGCCCACAGGCAGTGTGGTGGGCCCCCAGGTCAGAGGGGTCACAGCCTGGCAGGGCTCCGGAGCATTTGGTGCGTGGACGGTATTTCCTGTTTCGCCCATCCTTGTATCCCAGGGGGAGTCTGTTGTACTCTTTTATTAAATACAAGTTTGTCTTTAGTTATGATAGCATGCTCTGCTTAGAAAATGTGCAAAATGAAGAGAAGGGAGGCAGGTGAGTTGGACAGTCCTGTGAAAGAGGCTGGCTGACGTTTGGGCCGAGTTCCTTTCCTGTGCGCGCACGCGCACACGTTTCCAGAGTGCAACAATGCTTGTTTAGATCCTTTTCCATTGAACTTCAGGCCACATTCATTTCCCCACGATAACTAAAACTTTTTCTAAATTTAGTATTTCATTGATGGTAAGACATTTTTCATATTCTAGCATTTCTGTCCTAGTTTAATTTGCAGCATTTTTTCTTTCTTTTATAAAATAATGGTGTGTTATGTGGTCAATGGCATCTTGGGCTCAAAGAAGTGTAGTTTCTTTGAAGTTTCTAACTGTGGTTGCCAGCCCTTTTCTGCACGTGTGTTGTGATGATCAGGTGAGTGAGTGGCTGGGGGAATTGGGGTTTTGGTCTGCCTACAATGGCACTCTTCTGGTGAGTAGAAGAGTGTGTGCAGCTGTGTGTCAGCTGTGTGTCAGCTCTGGTCGCAGACCACGTGGGGTGGGATCATCGTGGAGACGCGGGCATGCCTGAGCACCTGCAGGCCCCCCGTTCCCGCGATGCGACAGTGGGTTAGTGGTTACACCCCAGAGGCTGACCGGTGTCTGTCTCGCCTGCTGGTGCAGTGGCTGCCCCTCCCCTGGCTCCACTGGTGTGGGAATGCCATCTGGATTCTTGGTGGGGCTGTGTTGGCTGGTGGTGAGCAGCTGGTCTCGAAGTCTCGCTAAATGGAGAAAGCTGGATGCGCTAATAGAAAGCAACAGAGTGTGCCTCCCAGGGCTTCTTTGCAGATGACAGGTGCAGCAGGTGACCATGGGTTACAGCATGTCACAGCGAGAGGGAAAACTGAAGCCCAGATGCCAGAAAGATTTGCCCGAGAGTCCCCACTAAGGGGATCTTTTATTTGGATTTAGTAGCGTTGTCCGGATACCTGTGCTGAGCAGGTGTCCACCTCTGTCTGCAGGTGTGTGTACCTGTGGTCGGGATTCCGGCCTCATCTAGATGCCAGCAGAGGGTTAGTATCTGAGTACATTCAGAGCATCATTAAAATGCCCTCAGCAAAAGGGGAGTCAAGGCACAGTGTGAACAGAGCTTTGGGGGGAAATAAGCCGCATGGGTTGAAGGAACATGGACAAGTGTTGAGTGCTGGGTGAACACCTCATCGGCACCCCATCCGGGCCTGACCCGGGCAGGACCACCATTCCACGTCTGACAGAACTCACGCTCTTTCTGAACTCCAGTTCACTCTCCCATCTCAGTCCCAGGTCCCCGTGTGCCCGTGTCTGTGGCTCCTTGTGCATCCAGAGCCCCAGGGCCCTGGGACCTGAGTAGCCTTCCTGTTTGGGAGCCACAGAACCTCCCGGCGGCTGCCGAGAAAAGACTGCTTTGCTTAGACAGGCATTCATCTTGTAAATTACATGCCTTGGCAGGCAACCTTTAAAAATCTAATTTTTCAGCTTTTTTTTCCCTCTGTAATGGTTGGAAAATCAGATTCCAGTTAAGTTAGTAATTATGAGGTTGAGCTTTTATAATTATTAAACTACAACTGTAGGTGTATTCACAGTTCCGGAACAATTAAAACATGACATTCTTCTCGAACAAGAGAGTGTACTAAAAATCCTATTTCCTGGACTAAAATATCTTGGAGCTTGAGACATCTCATCACAAACCTTACAGGAGCCGAGAGGAGCCCCCTGGGAAGGCCAGGAGTCATGGCTCCTAGCGTGGGGCAGTGGGCGGCCCTTGAGCACTGGCACGGCGCCTGTCCCATTTCCCAGTGCCTCTCCTGGACATGAGAGCCCTGCAGTCACATGTGCGCCTGGCCACTGAGTTGACAGGGACGCTGCGCTGCCTTCCTGGATTTTGCTGTCACTAATGGGCTCCCCTTCTTTCTCTCTTGTTTTCGTACCTAGGGAAGACCTAGGGTTCAGGTTCATATCTGAGCAGGTCAGCCACCACCCCCCTGTGAGTGCATTTTACTCTGAAGGTCTCTGTCAGGACTTCCTGTTCCACGGCTCCATCTACCCGAAGCAAGTTCTGG